TGTGGTACACACCATGCACACATTGTGGTACACACCATGCACACATTATGGTACACACCATGCACACATTATGGTACACACATTATGGTAAAAAGATTCTTCATTTTGAAAGGTATTGCAACATGGATGTGTAAAATTTAGCATCAGGCCTGTGACAAATGCAAAGTTTAAAACCAACAAGGAAATTATATGCTACTGTTTCTGATCCCTCAGCTTTGTTGTACAATAAATTTATAGTTTCACCTTTAAAGGTACATTCAATCGATATCAGATTTAATCTAAATTTAACCCGATGTATCCTGACTCAAAACACACAAATTATTGAAAATATAAACTCTTGGCACTTTTCTGAATTTTATTTTTGCTCTAGCGAGATTAAAAACATGTCAAAATGTAAGCAATCAGCACACTTTGCTTCTCCCAATTTTTATTTTTAGTAATACAGGTCATAAGAGGAACTTTGTTGGCTGATTTCTCAGGAACTTCTGTCAGTTCCTGAATCCCAGACATTCAGCTCTGAACAGACTTGGTGGTTTTTTTTTATTGTTGTTTTTTTTTTTTTTTTCTTCATTGTTGTAATTTGTGGACCTGCATAACAAAATTCAGAATGCAAATGCAATTTTTGATTTAAAAGAGATCAAAAGTCCGTTTTCTTTAAATAAAAAACAACTTCATTCAAAATCAACTTCAACTAATCCTCACTCAAATCTGAACAAAGGACGACACCAAAAGCACCAAAGTGAAGTAACTAAGCAGAGCCATTTATATTTAACTTATTTTTCTAAGCTTATAATAAACTTTAATGAGCTGACTCCCCAGCAAAGGAACACAGCACATGATTAGGTGTATGAATCCATGATGCTGTAGTGAGCGATTAATGTCCTCTTTGTCTTACCTGCAGTGGTGTGCTCGGTCAGGCTTGATGCTGCAGCACTTGGGACACTTGTAGACCACCTGCCCTGGTTTCAGCTGAAGGCTTTCTATGTATTCCTTAGTAGCATTCCCTTTTGGCACCGCCCCCTTTGAGAAAAAAGACATTACAGGGCATCAGCATAATGTGCAGATCATTAATCACTGATGGCATGAGCTGGCAGAGGCAAAAAGTAGACTTTAATGGAAATTGATTTGGACAATATTAGCCTATAGGAAGTCAAAGGCAATAAAATTGACATGATACTAAAAAGTACATGTACTTACAGGGTCAGTGCACATAGCCCTGAGGTGTGAGGCGAGAGCAAGGACGGCCAGAATGTTGAACAAAATCCCGTTCACAATGTTGTATGTAAGGTTTCTGGACGGTATCAGCATTACACACAGCACAACAAAATCAGCATAGAACACCAGCAGCCATGTGATGATGGCGCACACGATGCCACAGGTATCCCTGATGAACCACATGGCTGAGGAAGAGGAGGAGGTGATGACGTCTTTGGAGACAGGGATGCACTCTTCAGGCTGCAGGCAGCTGGACCCAGCCCTAGTTGCAGTCTGCCCACGACCGTGCTCCACATCCCTGCACCTGTGCACCGGGCTCTTCATCCTTCATCCAAGATGGATGCCTGTTGTTACTGCCACTGGAGCCAGGGCACCGTCAGGCCTCAGTCACCACTCATGCTGGTCAGAAACAGGTCTCAAGTTAACACAGCTCCTCTAACCTTCAACAAAAATAGAACACAGTTTGTTTCTAATAAGGCAGAGTCAGGTCCTCTGTACAGATTCTTCTTGTTGAAATGTTTCATTTTTTTATCCAAAAGACTTCTTCAGCCTGAGGAACTACAACAAAGTCAGTCTTATAAGCAGCACCTTCTCGTAGTAGTTTGCTGGTGAAAGTCAAAACTAGTTGTTCATATGATAAAAGTAAATGATTGTTAGTGTCCAGATAGCCGCTTGCTATTCACAGAGGGCTGAGTGATTCTAGCAATCACAGCATTGTAAGAGGGGGACAGTGGAACCCGGAGGCCTCCACCCGTTTAATGATGGGCGATTTCTTTTCACAAAGATGGCCTCCTTTACTCCTCTCTCAAACCATCGTTCCTCTCTGTCCAGGATGTGAACATCTTCATCCCTGAAAGAGTGACCGCTGGCCTGGAGATGAGTGTAGACCTCAGAGTCATGGCCTGATGATGTTGATCTTCTGTTCTGGTCTACAATATTACTCTATTTGTGCCGGGGGACTGGATCTTTGGGATGAACCAGTCTTTAACGTATTTTGGGGTTTAAAAGCCACTGGGACGTTATGTTTAGAAAATAAACGTCTCGGTTTCTCTGATACTCCCTCAACATATGGAATGACCACTGGTCTGGGTCTGGGTTCCTCCTTTTCACCTGATGGCTGACTGGAGTCCTGTTTGGGTTTCTTCTCTGCTTTCAGGAAGGCCCAGTTAGGATATCCACATTGCTGTAGAGTACAACAACCCCCCACAGCTAGTACTGGTATGTTTGTCTTGATAAACTGTTTGTTTTTAACTAAAAATGGAGATTAAGTCCAAACATCTCCAACTTGATCTTGTTTAACCAAAGAACATTGTACAAGTTCATATGTAACTTTGCAACTCTAAGCTGTGCTACCACGGCTTTCTTGTGTTGCCTTGTGTGAAGCAGCTAACAACTTTTTTAAATGTGATGAACTTTATTTGTACAATCTGAGATGTAGTTGAATTTTTGTAAATCCTCTAAATACACGACCACACATATTTTGCTCTGTAGATGGACAAACTTTGAACAGATTGGAAATGGCCTCATAACCATCCAAGACTGTCTGGCAGCAACAGTTGCTTCTCTAAAATAATTATTGCCTGATACCTAAAGGACAATGCAAACAATGTTTTTGCCCATGTTTGTGTGTGTGTTTATTTGTTACCAAAATATCTAATGACCCACTGCACACATTTTAATGAAACTTGCAAAATGTAATCCTTAGATGTACGTTTATAACTGATTACATTTTAGAGTTTACAATTCCAGGTGGCTGGCACAGCCAGACATTTTTAACCATCACACACAAACGGCTATAACTCAGTCAGATTGACAGATATTGTGCTTAAATTTGGTGTGGTAGTAGCTGAAAATCATTCACAACACATGCATGATCTTTTACAATATTGAATGTGACTGTGCCTTTTCATTAATCATAAGATTTCACAAAATAACCTATAACCCTGTCATTAATATTTTTTGTTTAAAACTGTGACATGAAAGGTGCAAGGTGGCTCAAGAAACAGAAAAGCTTTAAATGCTGATGTCGTTCTTCATTAACGTTGTGTATTAACACATGTAGGCTCCGGGGCAACACGCAGCAACAACTTGTATTTTTATATAATTTTTTATAAGCGCTCACTTGTGCAAATAACATTGTGTGTTGCCATTCATCTGAGGTTGTATTTAACTTGTTTTAAAAACCTGATATGGTCCAAAAGTTAATGTTGGCATTTCATAATGCATAAAACTTCTTCGGCCAGAACAGAAAGTATGTCATCCTTGTCAGGACACAGCAGAGATGGCACATGACAATCCAGCAGAAGGAATGAGGCCTGGCCGTCCCTGACCTACAGGAAAGTACCTGACTCAAGTGGTAAACAGGAAAAAAATGCACTTATTTTTATTTCTCTGTATAAAAACATGTCTGTAGAAGTTGGTCTGAGTAAGATGCCTAATTAATATTTGAGATCAACTAACTCCCTGCACTCTTGAAATCTTATCAGACATTTGATGCCAGAAAAAGAAAAGCAGAAATAAAAACCACACCTAAATCTGTTGGTCCATGGAGGTGAAGATGTGTTTACAGATACAGTCATTGATCCTGCGTGGAGCTGCCTCACACCCTTTAACCACCATATTACTATATTTGACCGGTTCTACGAGGCCAGACTTATGGACGCCATGACAGATGAACCACACTGTTGATAAAATATATGTAAAGTAAAGTCGTTGTCTTCTAATGCAAAAGAAAGGGTCAATGACTCCCAGCTTAACAAATATTTATATCGCTAAGGTAAAAAACAAAATCTAGCTTCAGCTAATAAAATACTAATGTAATAATAAATATATTGGAATTTTCTCGGAGCCAAGTTTTTCTGACAGTTATCAGGAACCACATACCAAACGTGTTTTATGCTAAAGCTAGCTGAGCTAACGAGGTAGCATTTTAAGCCAGCCTCCTCTCGTCCTTTTATTGTTGTACGGCGGTGAAAAACCTGAGCGTCTATTCACCTTGACGTGACAATAATCATAGTTCCATTCAGCTGAACCTCACCTGCCACTTCATCATCTTCTGCTTGCCGTTAGTCCTTTCCTCCAGCTGCTGCTGATCTTTTCAACTTCCCCATGAACAGCAAAAACGTGACGTCATGACGCATGAACGGAGACTATATGCCACGGGTAGTGGTGACGTACTTCCGTTAAAATTTCAGAAGGGTCCATCACTTCCGGCTCCTATCCGCTGCAGTTGTTTTTAGCATAAGCTACTAGTAGTAACCATGAAAAAGACTCAAAACGGAAAGCGTCTGCGATCTACTGGCACTGCAAGTCAGTTCTGTTGTGTGCCGTTGTGTCCACTAACCAGTAGGTACAATAGAGTAGTTAGTTTTTTCCATTTTCCTGCCGATGAGGAGTTAAGGCGACAATGGACCGTGGCTATCCGCAGGGAAAACTTAGCTTTAAAAGTTCACACCCGCGTTTGTAGTCGGCATTTCAAACCTGAGGACATTCAAGAGCCAGTATCCGAAAAGGGAAGACGGATGTTAAAAAAGGGAGCTGTACCTGCTTTGTTTGAATGGAATAATTACTCCCTTCCACCTCCAAGACCCGCGGTTTGGGAGAGAAGGAAAAGACCACCTCCAGAGGACAGCGAGGAGGAAGATAATACAACAGCCAGTGTAGACACCCATAAGGATCACGATTATGCTGCTAGTCCAGACCCTGCAGTTGTGGATTCAGTGCTGGAGGAAAATAATCATCTCCGGGAGGAAGTCCGCCAGCTACGGGAACAGGTTGAGAGCCTGACGCTGAGGCAGCGATTCGGCATTCACCGTTTTGCATCCTCCGACAAGGACATTAGATTCTTCACAAGGTAGGTGTGTGTGTGTGTGTGTGTGTGTGTGTGTGTGTGTGTGCGTGTGTGTGTGTGTGTGTGTGTGCGTGTGTGTGTGTGTGTGTGTGTGCGTGTGTGTGTGTGTGTGAGGAGGGGGATGCGCGCGCGTTTGTGTTACACAGAGTATAAAATTATTTTAGAAAACCTTTTCACGAGTTATATGCTAAAGCGAAAAATTCAGTTTGAATTAAGTTCGCTCTCTCTCTGTCTCTCTCTATATTTAATGTGTGTGTGTGTGTGTCTATGTGCCTAGGTATATTATTTGTGTGTATGTATACATTTCATTTATTTTAATTTTTTGTGTTCATTTCATACTTAAAGCCCCAAAAAAACAATTTACAAAACCACATGAAAAAAATACATAAAATGAAAGGTAGCAGAAGAAATAATCTTATCATATCAGCCCTTTCTTTAAAACAAAATTAACTCAAAATATCAATTCAAACAACAGTCATCTATGAATAATGTAACATGACAAATAACTAATACCAATGTTCCATATAAGTATTTATATTCTAAATTAATTACAGTATTACAGCACAGTGCCTGGGGTTGAATTTATTTTTAAGTATGCTGTGTAGTTTAACATGGACACTAATTGTTATGGTATGTTTTTTTTTTCAGGTTTGCATCATATGACCTTCTGATGCATTTCTGGGGCATGATTGAGCCCTCTCTGCCATCCATGGTCAGTGTTCGCCAAGGACAGAGAGGAACTGCCCTCGACTCCACTCCATCAACTTGTACTTTGCAGCCCATCGATGAGTTTTTCATGTTTTTAAATTACCTTGCCCTTGGATCCAAGCAACGTGATCTTGCTGACCGGTACGGTGTCCATCAGTCCACTGTCAGCAGGATCATCACAACATGGAGCAATTTTTTATTTACAGTCTTAGGTTCAATTAGGATCTGGATACCGGAGGAACATATACGAAAACATCTACCGGCAGACTTCAAACACTACCCTGACACTACAGTCATCCTTGACTGCACTGAGCTGAGGTGTCAGTGCCCATCTTCCCCTCTCCTCCAGAGTGAGGTGTTTTCATCTTGTAAATCCCACTGCACTCTGAAAGGGCTGATTGGGATTGCACCTCATGGGGCAGTGACATTCATCTCTGGACTGTATGCCGGGTCTATCAGTGACAAGCAGATCACCCGTGAATCTGGTCTCATCACGCTGTTAAAACCAGGGATGGCTGTTATGGCGGACAGGGGCTTTCTTATTGATGACATTGTTCCCTGCAAAGTTTACAGGCCAGCATTTCTGTCTGGCAGGTCTCAGATGTCTGCTGAGGATGTTAGAGAGACCCAGGACATAGCACGTCTCAGGGTGCATGTGGAGCGCCTCATTCGCCGGGTCAAAGAGCACAAGTTACTTGACTCTGAAATTCCCCTAGGTGTTTTTGGTATAATCAACCAACTGTTCACTGTTGCTTGTCTACTCACAAATTATGAAAATGGCCCACTAGTAAAGGCCTGGGCAAAGAAGCCTGACATCTGAGTAACAGCAAGAAAATATGCTGTATATCTATGTTTGATTTTGTTTTTTTGTACTTACAATAAAATTAAATCACTGTCATAAATATTTCAATTTCTCTGAACTTTTTCCATTAAATCAGTTCTTTTATAACATTTTTCATATAAGTCAAGCCATCAAGTGGGATATTGAAATACAGTACTAATAAAACTGAAATGAATTTTTTTTTTTTTTTTTTTTTTTCAAAAAATGCCACTCATCTAGTGAATGCAAACTGTTGAAACAGAAAAACACAGTTCACAAAGAGGGTATGATTATAACAGCCTAATAGCTCATTTCAAACAATAAATTGTATCTGACCTTAAAGAGAAATACATAAATCTAACTGCTTAAAAATAATATAAATGGAAGGAACATGACACAAGTATTAACAGTATTTTCAATCATATATGCAAAGGTTAAAATTTGACTATGTTACCTTAATTTGCCAGGCAAGCGCTGAGGTAAAAATAAAAAAAGAAATGGTCAACCTTTTGTTTTATGGTTGGTGCCACTCTGGACAGAAGCTCTGCTCCCGTGTGCTGCTCTCAATTTTGTGAGACATCTCTAACGTTGTCTCAAGGGACATCATATGGTGTTGCTGTTGTTCTGAACATACATACGCACAGCTGGAGTGTTCAAGCCTGTAATTGTAGAGTGGAAGCTGTGGGGGGAGAAAGGACGTGTTGGTGTGGACGGGTCCTGGGAACTACCTTTGCTGGCAGCTGATATGACAGAACACTTCCCTCTTGTACTGGACCAAACAAAGAGTCAACAAGAGGGACATCGTTGGAGACAGCCATTGTGGTGATCATTGGCGCTTCTTCAGCTGGAAGTCCCCGGTACACATCCTGTATCCTTAGGGTCGAGATGAGTGGCAGAGGGCTGGTAGTGCCTTTATACAAGTTGCTTCTGTTGAGAAAAATAAAGCTGTGTACTGTTAGCTGTGTTATATGTAGCCTGCATGAGGCAGTTCGGTGAACTGAAAAAAAAATACCGACTTACCTTCGTATTTATTTACGTAGTTGGACACATAAAGCTTGAATCCTTTGTCCTTTTTAGATGTGGGCGCTTTCGAGAAAGTCTGAATAATTCTGTAGACATCATTAACAGATATTGTTGGCAAGTCCTGCAGTGATCGAGTGAAAAACGCCATCACTAACACTGTGTTGACAGCAAACAGGAAGTGCGCAGCCCTTCTGAAAAATGCGGAAGTGCTAGAACGGAAGTCCGTGGCATATAGACGTGCTACATGTGGAACAATGGCAATATTCTGTATAAGAATAAGTCACTTTACTATAACAGCTGGATGGATAATGGAACTGCTTGTCCAACAGCTGTTAAATGAGAATGGAACCCTTTTGTCATACACTGAATTTCTGATGGTGGCACAACTGGTAGAGCTGCTGCGAGCAGGTCCCTGGTTCAAATCCCGGTCCGGGGGCCTTTCTGGGTGGAGTTTGCATGTGCGTGTGTGGATATTCTCCGGGTACTCCGGTTTCCTTCCACAGACCAAAAACATGCATGTTAGGCTGATTGGTAACTCTAAATTGTCTCTAGGTGTGAGTGAGAGACTGAATGGTTGTTTGTCTCGTTTGTCTCTATGTGTCCCTGTGATGGACTTGCGACCCGTCCTGGGTGTCCCCCGCCCCTCGCACAGTGATTGCTGGACATGGGCACCGGTGACCCCCGTGACCCAAAATGGAAGAAGCAGGTAAAGATAATGGATGGATGGATGGATGAATTTCTGACCAGATTTAACACACCTGCAACACATAAAGCGTATGCTGTAGTTTTGGACGCTCTACCAAACTCCATGATGCAACTCTTCAAAGGAACAAAACCTGATCATTTATCTATAGAGACCAGCTTAGAAGCCCCATAATGCTAGGTGAAATGGAGATCACTGAAAAACATGTTCCAACAAACTTATAAGATCATGTCTGCTGAAGATTACTTTACCTCCCGGTAGATTTTTTTGGTCCTCTACATTTGGAGAAATTAATTGGAAAAAAGTTTGGTTAAATGGGGAAAAAATGCATAACAAATAAAGTTAAAGAGGTTTTATATAAAATCAATCATGCCTGTTGAAAAAAAAAACTGGAAAGATTTAAACTTGATATTGACTATTCTTTGTGAACTACAGATGGAAACAATCTTTCATTTATTCTATCAATGTAATCATACAAAGGCATTCTGGACAGATGTACAACAACTCAGAAAACTGCACAAATAATTCAACTTACAGAGAAAGACATTATATTATGCTTTGACAATAAGTACGTAACTTTATCATTAGTGAGAGTTACCAGATCCAAGCAAACAGTTACCGGAACACACCCTGTCAGAATAACAGAGTTCATGGATCCTGTTCTGGCAGGATCCGGCTCAAATTAAGCACTGCCAGCTACCTACCTGATATATGCACCTAATGGTACATAGTACTTGCCTGGTACATACCTACTACATACCTGATATGTACCTACTACTTACCTGATACATACAGTACTACCTACTACGTACCTGGTACATACCTACTACTTACCTGGTACATACCTGTATGTACCTACTACTGTATATGGTACATACAGCACCTACTACTTACCTGGTACATACCTGGTATACAATGTGGCAGCATGGCAGCTCAGTGGTTAGCATTGTTGGCTCATAGCAAGAAAATCCTGGGTTCAATCCCCTGTTGGACCTGGGGTCTTTCTGTGTGGAGTTTGTATGTTCTTCTTGTGCTT